ATTGACCACAAGATGAACATGAGCCTGCAATGCGATGCGGCGGCTAGTAAAGCGACCAAAATGCTGGCTTGCATCCATAGATGCTTCTCAAGCAAATCCCGGGATGTCATCCTCCCCCTGTACTCGGCCTTAGTGAGGCCGCAGCTGGAGTACTGTGTCCAGTTTTGGGCTCCACAATTCAAAAAGGATATGGAGAAGCTTGAGAGAGTCCAGAGAAGAGCCATGCACATGATCAGAGGTCAGGGAAGCAGACCCTACGATGACAGGCTGAGAGCCCTAGGGCTCTTTAGCCTGAAAAAGCACAGGCTCAGGGGTGATCTGATGGCCACCTACAAGTTTATCAGGGGTGACCACCAGTATCCGGGGGAACGTTTGTTCACCAGAGCGCCCCAAGGGATGATGAGGTCGAATGGTCATAAACTACTACAAGACCGTTTCAGGCTGGACATAAGGAAGAATTTCTTTACTGTCCGAGCCCCCAAGGTCTGGAACAGCCTACCATCGGAGGTGGTTCAAGCGCCTTCATTGAACACCTTCAAGATGAAACTGGATGCTTATCTTGCTGGGATCCTATGACCCCAGCTGACTTCCTGCCCTTTGGGCAGGGGGCTGGACTTGATGATCTTCCGAGGTCCCTTCCAGCCCTAATGTCTATGAAATCTATGAAATCTGCAGGAGAGCCTATTAAACTGTTAGTAGGAATATTTTGATTATACAATCAGTTTCCTCTTAAATCAAAAGTCTAATTATGTGATATTCAGCGCTTCTCTTTGGAGTATAAAGAAAACAACTGCTATTGACTAACGTATTTAGTATTTGTTTTCCTGCCTTTAATACAGAATCAGAATGTTAGAAATGCTCCCAAATGCACTATTTGTTTATTAAATACTATATACACCAATTTATAGATTTGCAGGTGGTCCAACATTTATAACACACAGGAAATAATGAAAAAAAGCGATTCTGTTCAGATTTTAAAAAACTGCATTTGGACAGAGATGCAACATGGAAAAATGACAAAAAAAGAAACCTGACAGGAAATTGGATGTAAAATAAAAGAGAAGAAGCTACAGGGAAGAAAACAATTTAGAACTATATTGTGCTCCATATGTATAATCAAATTTGGAATTTAAAATATATTCAAAAATTGGAAGAGTTTTAATATTAAAACACTTTACAAAATGAGTTAAAATTCCAGAAATGTACTAACTCCATAAGGAAATGGGGCAGCCTTATGCTCTGCAAAACCTTTCATGTTGACTAAGACACTCAGCATATCTTCTAATCCTGCATTTTAAATGAAAACACTTTCATTGGGTTTACCTTAAGATATCCTCCAGAAGACACAAGCATCTTACTGTCAGGAGAAAAACAGAGGTCTGTCACCCAGTAATCATGTGTCAGACCTCCTTCATCTATAATGACAGGGGAGCAGAGATGAAGTAATTCACCGCTTGAGACATCCCAAATCTGGGGGAAACAAGACAGACATACTATTAGCAGTATAAATACTAAGGGTCATTGTTGTAAGGAACGTTGGAATTTATTTTTCAATATGAGAGAAATCCAACCTTTTCAATAAAGTGTAATTCTTGCAGTGACAAAGCTACTGAGAGAAGTAATTTTTAAACAATCTTTCACTTCTACTAAATGTATATTTAATCATACAAGCAACTCCTGACAGACTAATCAGTAAAAAAAAGTGCCAGCTCATTATAGAACCCCATGGCTTACAGAAAATACAAGATAAATAAAACACCACCACAAAAAAAAATAATCCAGAATTTACATGACAAATACATGTTTTTGGGAGCTGGTGTAGAAGTGTCATGGTATGTTGTTTTTTTTCTTTTGGTGCTCAATATATAAAACAAAGTTTACAAAAACTCCTAAAAAAAACCCCCAAATGACTAAAATCTATTAGTTGGTAAACCATAAGAAGTTTTACAAAAACGGGCATTTCAGGGTCCTAACCTCACCAAAAATTTCTAACAATGCAACAACTGTCCTACATTTACATATCTATTTTGAATATTTTCTCTTTTTTTTTTGTAGTTTTTAATCCCCTAATTCATGCCAATCTTCTGCCCTTTTTAAAGTAGATTTTGTTATTGTATTGTGTTTCAATGACTTTCAGTTTTGCTGAATATTCACCACTCACAAAACAGCTGCCTTCATAGCAAAAGAACCCATATATTTACCCCTGCCTAGCAATTTCCCCAAAATTTCTCAGGGAATTTAGCTGACCAGAATGCAATTACCCAAATTCAAGCTTGACACATGAACTAGGTTAAGCAGCCCCATGGCATTTTCAACTCCAGCATCTGTTATTAAAAAATGTCAACAAGTAAAAGAAAGAAAGTACCCGTATTTCCCTTTTGTCATCTCCAGTGGCCAATAATTTGTTATCAAATGAAAAAGTACAGCACCGCACGCAGGCTTCATGACCCTTTAGCTCGTGAAGAATGGAGGAACTTTTGAAGCTCCATATCTAAAAATAAAATGTTTAAAACAAAGGAAAAAATATTTAATGGAAAAGCTGCTATGATTTTATCTGTTCTTTAAATATATATTAACATAGGAATTAATATTTAAAATATATGCAGCACCTTTCATATTACCACAGACCCTTTCTAAGCATCACATATACAACTGTTAACAGACATTGTTCCTTTAGTGATTAAATCCCAGAACATTTCCTAGGTATTTGAAAAAGTATGAACTCCTCTCTTTTTGGGTTACACACTTCAAAGCTATTGACCCATTAGGCAGAAACTTGATAAAGTTATTCTAGATAAAAGCATTCCTTAATTAGTTCAAACATATTTTTATAAGCTCAGAAAATGTACTCCAGAGTTTGTTTTTGGTTTAAGACAGTGGAATATGTATTAACTGCCTACTCAAGAGGCTGATCTGATGTAATCTCAAAGAAGGTGCTTTTAACAAGGAGGCCAATAAATTTTCTTTGAAAACATGAAGGAGCCTTTAAATGTTCAAACAAATTGTTGATTTGTAAATACTTAGATGCAGATCTGGATCCATCACTGTGGAAATCCTGATATGGGGCGAGGGGGAAGGAGGGAAAACAACAACTTTCAGAAACAGGAGCCTAAACTTGAGTTTGTAAATCTGTATTTAGACATTGTTCCAAATTGAATTTAAAAGGCAACACCTTGGAACTCAATACTTTTGGAATTTAGGCTGGTGCCTAACTATAGAACTCATTTTTAAAGTTGCATCTGTAAAGCTTTCCAGCCAGCTACTGTCTAGTGTTTTTAGTGTGATGACTTAAAGCAATACACAGAATTATGTAAAACACTATGCACAAGAAGCTTGTATACTTACAAGTGTGTATCTTATAGGAATGTAAGTCAACGACTGTATGAAGGTACATCCATGATCAGTTTAAAAAGAAAAAAAGAGGTGTCTAGTAGAGTTAGAAAAGTAACCACTTCATATATATAATTTAATATTTGAAATGTTTGTGGTATTTGGGGTGACTGTTAGCTACTTCACAAAGGCAGCCTACAAGGCACATTTCAGAGAATACAGACATCATTGTGCATATTTTAAAACATTGTAACAGCAAACCTTGGCAGTTTTATCAACAGAGGTAGATGAAAACTTAGTGGCATCAGGAGAGACAGCACAAGAGAGAACAGTATCTTTATGGCAAGCAAAGTTGACTTCTATTTTCCCATGAATGATATTCCACACCTATGAAAGATATAAAATAATATGGCTATTTTTACAATTCTCAATCAAGTCCATTAAAAAAAACAACCAGTCTAATATAAAGTTAAGCAACAAGATCCAAAAATTAATGTGTGGAGTATTCTACTGGTATGTTAAATTCTAAGTTGTGATAAAACAGTTTGAATAGTAATTGAAAAATACATTTTAAAAACGTTGTCAAAAATGTGTAGTTTTTCACTGCTAAATTATCTATTAAATGCACAATAAACTAAATGCCAAAAAAACCAACATGCAATTAAAAGTCAGCCAAGTTATTTTTTGTTGGTACTTAAGATTCTTAAAAGAATTCTTGGGCTGGCTAAAGACACTTTCATTCTAGGAATAAAAGATGCTCTTCTCTTTAAGCCTTATATACAATGGAATTTTTCCCACCAACGCAGCAGCTACTCACATGAAAGCCACCTACGTAACTCATGCACCACCTTGCACAAAGGTTTGCATGGATATAGAGTGGAATCACTTGGCAATAAAAACTTAGCATAGACAAAATCTAAGTTCAGTTCTCTGAAAATTAAACACTGAGCCTCAAACTTTGTTCATGTATTTTGTTACTATTTAAAGATGCAATAATGTATTTCATTCAACTTGTTATTACACCAACATTATTTACCTTAACTGTTCCATCAAATGACCAAGAAAGAAGTCGTGAATTTTCCAAAAGCCTAAAATTCTTGATTGTTTCATTGTGACCTTCTAGAAATAAGCATTCTTCCAACTCCCAATTCCACACCTGCTTGCCAACACAAAAAGTGTCTAAAACAATAAATAGGCTCTTTCTTCACATTTCATACATAATTTAATAGGGATGATGATTAACAAGCATTCTTTAGAAGAAAATATCCACTGCTTTTTATCCTGCATGGACCATGGAAGATTTGTACGTATTTAGTAAGGAAGCATGAGAGAGCACTAAATGATGGTCAGCTGCAAAAGCATGCTACACAATTCAACTAGAGTTAACAGTCAATCTGGCAGACAGTGACCCTTAAGATATGAAAAGGCAAAAGCCTTTCCCAGTAACATCTGATTAATTTTTTTTTCACTAGTGGATATACACCCAACTGTCATTATTGCTTTTGAAAGATGCAACTGCAAACTCAAATGTTGGACCCAAACATAACTTACCTCAATAAATAAGCTATTCATTATACTTTCCCCACTAACTCAGCTTTCTTTAATATTCAGCAAATACAATCAATCAAATGTTATTTTAAAGTTTCCTAACTTTGTATAGTTTTCCATTTATAATTCAACTGTAAATTTCATATTCAAAGGCATGATTTAGAGCCCAAGTATTGCTGCAGTAAATATGAAGATCCTTTTCTTCTTTACATGTCATTGATATCAATTACTTCATTTTGAATAGAATGAAATAGGTGTTTCAGAGTTGATAACTTTGGATTAGGTCCAAAACCCTTAAATTAACTAAAGAAGCTGAAGTGCCATGTCTGGAAAAAAATCTTTTTTCTTTACAATAACCACATCTGTTCAGATAGTTTTTACCATCTTTGATGTAAAATGGGATATCATAATTATGCAAACAAAAAATACAATTCTAAACCACACAGCCACTGCAATACCTTTGATTTTACTAAAAAGTTTCTTCCTATTGCTCCATACAGTGGAACTGCTGACTTGCTTTTTCTTGTTTCTGTTCTTGGTAAGCATGAACAATTTTATTTATCCCTACTGTCTACCCACTACTTATCTTTTAAATTAAATACTTTGCTGTAGCACTGATTGATAAGTCTAAAAAGTCTTTATTTTCAAAATATTGTTGAAACTGTTCACCTAAGTGACTGTAAAGAAATAGGTATTTCAGACTGGGCAAATAAAAAAATTTAGAACATCTGAACTATTTTACTTAGTTCTTAAAACTACAAATCAAACAAATTATATTGTTTTTGTTGCTCCATGGCAACAAAGATAGAGACCCTGTTAATAATGCCATTAATTAAATCCACATGCAGCCCGGCAGTTTCAAGGATGGAGTGGGGTTAAGTGGAATGACCATACCAGTTTAGACCATTAAAATAAAAAGAGGTTGCATCCAAATGGACCTGGGGACTAAGAATGGTCAGTATGGAAAAGGGCGAATATTGTGGAACCTAAATCATTACAGTGTAACAAACTTCGCTTTAGTGCTCCAATACAACAATACACAGTATTTTACAAACCTGTATAATTGGATCATCGTCACTTGAAATGAGGGTCTGGCCATCAGAGGTAAACAGGCAATGTTGTACAGAGGTCTTGTGTCCACGCCTAGATTTCAAAACTCTCCCACCTGACACCTCTAAAACCTTTCCAATAAAAAAAAAAAAAAAAAAAAAAAAAAAAACAAAAAAAAACACAGGGGAAAAAAAAAAAAAAAAAAAAAAAAAAAAAAATCACACAAAAATCACTGATGGAGAATTAAAAAAAAAAATGAAAAGGAAAGAAGCTTTTAAGAAAACCTGTGAAGTAAAGACAACAAAAGACAGAGTTATACAAGAGTGGTGACTCACAGTAGATGGGAAATAATAAAAAGTACCTTACCCTCCAGGAAACTGAAAAGATAATCTACACTAATAAAAAGTGTCTAATCATCTGTCAGAAGCCTTTGTGCATAAATCATGTGTAACAACCTACATGCACTTTTACACACATTTCTGCTCCATTACCATGACTGCAGCACACGAAATTGACCGGCCTGTGAATGTTATGCTCTGCAGAGGACAAATACATATTTATTTTTTAAATTTAAAGTAGATGTCTCCACCATTTGAAATGGGACAAAGAGGCCCCAATGCTTCCACTATTAATGAGGGTTAACTTTCTTAATGTGAATGAACAAAAGGCCAAAGTGTCCTGTAATTAGGAACACAGGAAAGTAGGGCTGGAAGGGACATCAAGAGGTCTTTTACTCCAGCCCTCTGACCAAGTCAAGATTGTCCCTGACTAAACCATCCCACTCACATGCCTAACTTGCTTTTGAAAATTTCCAGGGATGGAGATTCTGTCCCTAATCCTGTCCCCAACATCCACAGAGAAAAAAAAAATCTCTATCTCCTTTATGCCATTTAAGCATTTGAAAACTATTACCATCAAATCTCCCCTCAGTCTTTTTTTCTCCAGACTAAATTATCCTAGGTCTTTCAGCATTTCCTCATAAGTCATGTTTTCCAGACCTCTAATCATTTTGGTCGCTCTCTGCTGGACTCTTTCCAATCTGTCCACATCTTTCTTGAAAGGTGAAGCTTCAAACTGGACAGTGTGCTCCAGACGAGGCCTCACCAGTGCCAAAAATAGCAAAGGAATTGCTTCCCTTGATTAGCAAGTGACACCCCAATTAATACAACCCACTACGCTGTTGGCTTTTTTATTTTTTATTTTTTTGCGCAATAAGGGCACATGGTTAACTCATATTTAGGGACCTACCTAAATTGTGGCAGAAGTTCACAGTACAGCAGCGCCTTTAATCTTCCTCTTTTCGCTGTGAGCAGTCGCTCCCCCCATTGACTGGCTGAGAGGCAATTAATGCTGTGGTTTTTGCCCCTCAGCCATTCAGTGGCATGGGGGGAAGGGAGGAAGGTCATGGTGAAAAGAACAAGATTAAAGGCATCACTGTGCAGTGAACTTCCACTGCAATTTAGGTAGGTCTCTACTCATATTCAGCTTATGACCCACTGTAACCCTCAGGCCCTTCTCTGCAGTTCTTCAGCCTAGGCAATAACTCTTCTGTCTGTATTTGTGCATGCAATCCTGAAAAAGTTCTGCAACAATTCAAGAGAATCTTTCCTTTCTTACAGTTCCTTCCACTGTTTATTCCACATCAAAGAATAACTGAGGGGGGGGGGTGTGTACTGTGCACTTTTAAACTTTAATAACTAGGTTGCAGGTATGATAGAAACAATCTGTAAAGGGCATTTAAAAGCAAATGTATTAAAGTTTTAGGACAACTAGAGTACACAATGCTAGACTTCATAAGTAATAACGAATCTATTCTTAAATAAGTTGTAGCTCCATGCAGTGACTCAAGAACAACTGGGAAACGTTTTCAAGGAGTTGGAAGATCGGATTGAGCACTGTATCATGATGGATGGTGGTTATGTTGAAGTCTAGCATTGTGTACTCTAGTTGTCCTAAAACTTTAATAAATTTGCTTTAAAATGCTGTTTACAGATTTTTTTTTTATCATACCTACAACCGAAGTTATTAAAAGTTTAAAAGTGCACAAGGACTTTATGAAGACCTTGTATACACACACACACACACACACACACTTGTGAGTGGATAATGGAAGAGTTGCCCTACCACATTAAGAGCTTTAAAATAAAGATTTATTTGAGCACTGAAAAAAACAGTACAATGTACTGTTTCAAAAAAAAAAAAAAAAAAAAAAGAAGCATCCGATTAACTTTCATTCACTTCTCTACAACTGCATACAAAAATACGTTTTTAATACATCAACCAGATTTTAAAGCAAAAAGAATGAGAAATATCTATGAAGGGATTCACTCAGTAGTGTTCTGAAACTGAGAGTATAGTACCTTTACAGTTCCATTCTTCTGTCCAAATGCCGCAAATTGAAGATCTTCACTCAGGCAACAGCAGGAAATAGAGTCTTCAACATCAGTCAGACTGACAGTATGGCCTGTGTTTCCATTAATTAGCTGCAACACAAAAAAGGTTATTAAAATGTATAACAACTTTGTACATCCTAGTCACAAAAAAGTGAGCATCTTGATCTACAGTATGAGCAATCTCCACCCTACCAGCATTTTTAGCATTCAAAGCTTTGGTCTGCATTTGACACATTTTGTTAAAAATTTATTTTTGTAAAACAATTTCTTTAGTACTTTAAACATGGATGATCTAGCCATTGTCTTTATTCAGTCATTTTGATAACGAAAGCTTACTTCTAGCTTTACAGATTAGGCATACATTTATAATAGAAAAGCATATTTAAACATAGGTACTGTGAGTTCAAATCTGTTATTCCATCACAGAATCAAGTTTTAAAATCTATGTACCCAGCATCAGGCACTTGCTCTTCAAAAAGAATAAATGTTAATTATTGGATGAGTTTTAAAGCTCTTGAAAAATGTAGCAATAACACTCCACAAGCAAAGCCACAGAAACAGTATTTTGCCAACCCAGAACCTATAAAAAGAACAAATAAAAAGAGGTATATTCATCTATGGATACATGGATCTTAGAGTAGATTTTCACCTACATCTTGCCTCTGCAGGATTTTGCAACTATGATTTCTGTATAACTATGATGGAAAGTGTTTTTTGGTATGCAACTAATGATTTACAAACACGTATAAAAATTCCTTTAAAATTATTTCTTAAAAACATTAGTGAAGGTGTCAGGGACCTCCCTTGGACATGCAAAAGTAAATATGTGCACTAAGTAAAAAATGACATCTTTTACTTTTTTAATGTATGTATTGCTATTGATTGTGCTGGAGATTGTATTCCTTTACTAAGGCAGAGTATTCAAAAAATGGTACAGATTAATACCAGTAATACGTGAATTGATGTTCCTAGATCTGTATCAACAAGGTTTCTGATTATCTTGATTAATCTCCTTGCAATAACTGATTTAAGCCATTTATTTATAAAAACTATTAGAAGAGCTTAGAAACCCATAACCAGAGTTGAATGATAAGTTTTCTTTGGTGAGTGAGGGCAGACTACAGGCTGCTGCAAAACTGAGCTGCTATTTTTAAGTGTTATGAGCCCAGGTACCCACAGAGAAATTAAGAATCCATGTATTCTTCTGCCAGCTATTCCTTAAACAACACGCAGGCAAACAACTGACACATGGGACAATTTAAGCAATGAACTGCAGATTTATTCATTTAACACTGGGGTGAGCGGGGGTGTATTATGCTCCCACCCTGGACTCCAATATATCAGGCAAATCAGCTCCAGTGTGGAATCACAGGTTTTCAACTACACAACCAATAATTCAGGATGGACCATCTTTTACACCCCCCTAGAATGCTGCTTACTTCTGAATCCTCTCACCCACTCCCACTCATCCAGAGCGCAGGAAGGTAAAAGTATCATTAAAGGAGACTACATTCTACAGAGAGTCCAGATCCTGCTCCTTTATGAAACAAGGTAAACCAGCAAAATTCTGGTAATTTTGAACCTCTGGAAATTTATCCCCACTAGACATTTCTGCAAGATGTGGCAAGCTTTTAAAAAAAAGTCTCACCTTCTCTACTAAGCACTTTAAAATCCTATTGCTTACTGAACTGTGCTTATATGATGCTGCGAGGAAGGTGAAAAAAAATCCCTTGATAATTTGCCCCTGCAGAACATGCAATTGGGTTGTACCCAAAGCATCATAAACATGCAGGTCTTGTGTTATGCTACTATGGAGTAGAGACAGGGCAGTCAATGAGAGCTAGAGACTTTTTTTTTTTTTTTTTTGGAGGGGGTGGGGGTAGGCAAAATTAAAAAATTTAAACAGGGTTGGAAGACGCACAAAATCCAACTAGCCACAGTCACAGGCAATGGGAAGGGGAAAACCAGCAGAAGGAAAAAGAAGCCAACCCCATTTTGCCACACATACCCACTCATCCTCCCCAAATCTCTTCTAAACTTTGTGGCCAGAGATTAGGAAAAGATCGATAGCAAGAACTCTAGTCAATCCCAATTTCGGCCATAATTTAACTTGCAATTTAGAGGAGAAAAACTCTACACCAGGGCTGTCAAATATCTGGCCTGATCATTTAGCCAGTGGTGCTGCTTGTGGCTCTCAGACTGGCCCTGCATGCTGCATGCAGTGTGCCCCGAAACGGCCTACGTTGCATGCAGTAAGCACTACCTTGGCCCTGCATACTGCATGTGGTGTGCACTGCAAGAGGCATGCAGGCCCTGTCTGGGGTGCATGCAGCATGAGGTGCCTGCACTGTACCACCCCTGCATGTTGGATCTGGCCCATGGGCTCTGATGGGTTTAATATCTCTGCTCTACACTCAATAATCAGCACTCCAAACCATTCAACCCAATGCCTAAATTTGAAAGTTACCTGAAAATGTTTCTAAAAGTTGAGGCTATGATGCCAGATTACTTCAGTTCCATTACTCTGTCCCCCTGCCCTTTATAAGCAAGAACCAAGCATGAAGAGACAAGCAATATCTCAAGACAGTTTCATTAAAAACAGAACCTCACTCTATTCTCATTACAAACCAGAGAGTTTAAAAAAAACACACACTATTTTAGTAGTTAAAAAGAGCATTAAAGTTACTCTTAGCTAAGGAAGAAGTTTTCTTAGGTTTACACTCCTGTTAAGATCTTCCAAATTAAAACCAGATAAAAACCTTGTGCAATATAAAACATATTCTAATGCAACTAATGCACAATCCGGACAATACAAAGACAAACTTATATAAGAGACAGTAATGAGCAGAGAGGTAGGAGAATAAAGCAGATGAGCAAGACTAGGAACACTATTTCTAAGCATCTTAACCAACCTTTTTTTCTCCGTGGTAAACATGCTTATGTATTCAGCTCTTGTAAAACACAATGTTCAAATGGCCAAAGGCAGAAAATGATGTTGAAAAAAAAAAGGCCTTTTCCTCTAAATGTCCAAACAGTTGGAAAAAATTTGCCTCACCAGTAGGTAAATGTTTGATATTTTCTTAAACAAGATAAGTGCAACCTATCAGCTTATTTAAAATCGACATAGCCACTCTTTGCTAAGGCTTTCCTGACACCTCACAGACACTCTCTCCCTACTTTGCCATAAAGACTTAGAAGCAGAGAGGTGTGTTAAGATGTCTAATCACCAGGGTCCTGGGTTTTTTTCTCTGTTAAAAAAAAATCCAAAATTCTCTAATTAACCCCCCCAAATTCTCAGATTAAAACCCCTCAAAATCTGTGTTTTTCTGTGATTAAAATGAAATGCCACCAAAGATAGAGGCATCAGTTGAACAAAATGTTCTATTGATATATTTACAATTGTAAAGAAATTTTAAAACAGTGCCTCAATCATGATTATTGTAATAAAATAAATTCTCAATACCTATATAATTTTGGCATTTGATTTTATCATGGAAAATAAGAGCTCCCCTGCCCACCTCGCTCACCAGGATATGGGTGTAGCTGCAGTTGTCCCCTCTGCTACTTTGTGGTGCTGAGCAGCCCTGACATGCCAGTGCCCTGCCTCTGTCCATGCCCATGCTATTGTCCCTCACTCCCAAGCTGGTAGCGCTGGGGGGCCAGTGTCCGTGCTCTCAGGGGCAGGAGGAGGAATGTGGGCATAGGTAACACCATTGGTGATGCATGGGGAGGGGGATAAGGGGCACATGCCCCCCTCATTTTTGTGCCGACAGCACGACGCAGCAAAGGGCTGCAGCCTGGCTGAACCGGCACCAGGCACCCCAGCACCACCAGCTTGGCCACACAGCTCCCCACTGCCCCTGAAGGACCCCTTTGCCCCCTTCCCCTGCTGGAGGGGCAGGCACCTCTGGGCAGGCCCTGCTGGCAACCACGCAGAGCTGTGCTCGCCAGTGGCACTGAGCCCTGCCTCAGACCCCCCCTGCCCAGCCACAGTCCCAGCACCTGGACACCCTCCCCCAGTGCCAGCAGGCATCCGTGCTACCACGGGGACACACACACCCCTTCCACACACAATGTGTGCGTGCGTACATACCCCCCTCCCTCCAATGCACAGACCCCCAGACAGTCCCCAAGCCCCAGCTCTCCAACCCTCCTCTGTCCCATAGACTTACCACTAGTATCTAGCTGCCAGGGCTGTTCCCACCACCCTGTCTGGATGTATTGCCAGCCATGTGCATGCATGCGCATGCACCATGTGTCCCCTGGCTCCCAGCATCCTCACCCTGCTCTCCGCAGCCCCAAGAAGCCCTTGCAGGCTGGAACTCTGCCAGCCTGCAAAGGGAAACCCACGGTTTCCCACTTTCACAGGGAAAATCCATGTTTTACTGCATGAAACAGAAAACCCAGATCCCTGCTAGTCACCATATCTTATTTTGTCATGCACGTTCTAAAAACAAATATAGACCATTTAACAGCTATGATAAATATTAAAACAAAACATTTTAAATGAAAGAGTACATGTTGTGATATATTATGGTTTAAACACCGAGGGCTTCTAGTGACTTCCCTCATTCAACTGAATATGGGCTTGATCTTGTGATTACCTGTAGAACCTCACCTCTCTGCAAAGGCAACTAGTATTGAAAATGGTCAGCATCTTGCAGGACTGTGCCTCTCCCATTACTGCCATGGTAAAACTGCACTACTGCAAAAATCTCTCTTTGGCTAATGTATTATTTTAATACAGGCAATAGATATGGAACAAAGGTACTGTTAAAATAAATCTATCCTATTTTGATTCCTAAAATAATCTGGAAAAATAAGGTCATCAGATAATTTTAACCTACTTAAAACATCATATCTTTTTAACTTACTTAAAAAAAAACCATGCCATTTAAAAAGATCACATACTATAAAACCAAAGGCTGTTATTTTAGGCTGTAGTGATGGCAATAAGACAAAAGTACTAATTAAACAGTGATACCACTTCTGACTGAGCGCATCTCCAGCAATGCTTGTTCACTCTGGACATTTCTAGCCCACAATCTCTGAATCCTGATTTGGCCCAAAATTTATAAGTGATGACTTCTCATCATGTCAACATTTTTAACCTTCTTTGACTTCTATACTTTTTTAATGCATTTTTCTCCTCATGCTCTCACGAGCACGGACAGTAGGATGGGTAAAATATTGGCTGATGGGGCACACCCAGAGTAGTGCTGGATGGGTGGTACTCAACCTGGCGAGATGTGAGCAGGGGGGTAACCCAGGGCTTGGTCCTCGGGCCTGCACTGTTTAACATCTTCATCAGTGACTTGGACGAGGGGGTGGAAAGCACGCTGTCCAAGTTTGCTGATGACACTAAGATGTGGGGCGAGGTGGACACACTTGAAGGGAGAGGCTGCAAATAGATTTAGACAGACTACAAAAGTGGGCAGATGAGAATAGGATGGGGCTCAATGTAGACAAATGCAGGGTACTGCACCTTGGGAGAAGGAATCCACAGCATACATACAGGCTGGGGAGTTCCCCTCTTGAAAGCACAGAGGCGGAAAGGGATCTCGGAGTCATTACTGACTCCAAGATGAATATGAGCCGCCAATGCCAGACCGCAGCCAGCAAGGCCAGCCATACCTTGTCGTGCGTCCAAAGGTGCATCTCAAGCCGGTCCAGAGAAGTGATACTCCCCTTCTGTGCGACTTTGGTCAGGCTGCAGTTGGAGTACTGAGTCCAGTATTGGGCGCCGCACTTCAAAAGGGATGTGGCCAGCCTGGAGAGGGTTCAGAGGAGGGCCACCCACTTGGTGAGAGGGCAGCAGGACAGGCCCTACGAGGAGAGACTGAGGGACCTGAACCTGTTCAGCCTCTGCAAGAGGAGGCTGAGGGGGGACCTGGTGGCTGCCTACAAACTCATCAGGGGAGATCAACAGCAAATAGGAAGAGCCCTTTTCTCCCCAGCACCACCTGGGGTGACAAGGAACAACAGTAATAAACTGATGGAGAATAGGTTTAGGTTAGAGATCAGAAGGAAATATTTTACAGTTAGGGTGGCCAAAATCTGGAACCAACTTCCCAGGGAAGTGGTCCTCGCCCCTACCTTGGGCAAATTCAAGAGGAGGTTGGATGATCATCTGTCTGGGGTCTTGTGAACCCAGCATTCATTCCTGCCTGTCAGGGGGTCAGGCTAGATGATCTGTTTAGGTCCCTCCTTACCCTAGCTACTATGAAACTATGAAATTAAAAAGGGTTAAGGTAGCTTGGCTGCAAGTAAAAAAAATTAAGAGACCTAATCAACGTGCAGTAACAAGTTGAGAAAACAGTTCAAAGGTTTACCCTTTAAGAATCCATTTGTATTGTCCATGAAGGGACATATGGACAGATTCTACACCAAGACAAACGCTGTTCTGCAAGTAGGTAGAATCTGGGCGAGTGGCTATCAGAGGATCAGCCCACCCACTTCCTTTCAAAATGCATTCTTCCATAGCTATTACAGAAGTCAGTTATGACTTTCACGACTGTCTATTTACCTAACTATACACATTGAAGACCTGACCAGTAGACTGCCAAATGAATCCTACTCAAAAGGAAGGCAGAAGAACCTATTCAACTTTTTCCTCTCTATACATTTTGACAGTTAGATGATTAGTCTCAGCAATGTAGGAAGAGATGTCAGGACTCCCAGCATACCATTTATGTCCCATTTTAAAGCAAATTAAATGATTATCCTTACGGCTGAAATATTCTTCCATATAATGTTTCAGGTCTGGATAATACTGTGATTAAAACATGCTAGACACTGAAAAATTTAAAGTAACTAATAAGACAGAACTAGAGGGAACGGAGTCTATTGTAGATTGGTGATTTAGGCAATTGGGTTTTCTTTGTGTATAGCCATATCATTTTGGCAATGTAATGGCACAAATAGATTACTAAATAGGGAAATTTTTAGTAATTTTTTTTTTTACTGAGTTTAGAAGCTGAAATACACAGAGAAACACACTTACTTGTAGATGTGTATGATTGAGAATTGCTAAAATCATCATTTCATCGCCCTTGAATGCAACATCTAGTTCATTTTTCAACGCAATTTCTGGAGGCTTGCACACTTTACTTGTCTCCCAAATCTGTTGAAGAGAATAATGTATCAACAGTTGGAAGGAAGACAAAGACATAAAACTATTAGTCAAAAAGAGAACATGCTGAAAGTTAGAAGCCACTAAGAAGTAACATTTTAAATCAATGAGAACAACTACAATACTTCTGTGATTTTCATTTAGTAGTTTAATGGGAAGTACTCTACTGTTCATACAGTAAGCTCCATAAATAAAGTGCAATAATGAATTTCCTGTCACACCCTGCCCAGTTGCCCAGTCAGTGTACTCCTCTACACTTGTATTAAAAAAGCCATGTATACAAAGTTCACCAGGTCCTAATTTAAAGTTAAAAAACCCTAGAATTAAAAAAAAAGAAGAGAATATCAGCTATAGCATTAAACATGCTATTAGCATAACTAGTTTCAAGAATACAAATTCAACATATCAAAAACACCGATTATGAAAAGTGAGGGAAAAATAACGTGAGAAAAAAGGCATAAGGTTACATCTTTTCAAGAATATTATGGTTTATAAAAGGAATTTATGGGATTAAACAAAATAAAGCATGGAATGATCTGATGTTACATAACCTAAGCAAGAAATAACCTGTAAATATGCAAGTACATAAAGTCAGCTGTGACAGTCTGAAGACAGGCAGAAGGCAGGGTAGAGATACACTGTATAGACCAGAGGCAGGCAAAATACGGCCTTTGGGCTGGATCCGTCCCACAAAGCACTTTCATTCAGCCCGTGGCACACACCAACAAACTCTGCCCCTCCCAGTCCTTCTGCCCATGAAGTGGGGGGAAGTGAGATACTGGCGTATACACACAGCCCCAAACAAACCCTACTGCCTCACTTCCACACTTGTGGGTGGAAGGGGCCAGCAAGAGTGCAGCTTCTGTGCGGGGCTGCTGCAGCCCCCGGGGATCTGCTTCACTTCCCTGGTCTCCTGCTGGCTCAGGACAGCCGGTAGGGAAGCAGCCGTGGTGGGGAGGCTGCAGCTGGGTGGGAGCATGGGGTTGGGGCTGGTGGTAGCAGCACAGAGCTTGGGTAGGTAGTGTGTCGATGTGAGGGAGGATGGGAGGTATGGGGACCCCACCACACTTCCCCCATGGTGTGCAGCCCTGACAGGTGGTGGCAGCAGCAGCAGGCAGGGCACAGGCACCCAGTGGGGCGCAGCTCTGGCCTGCAATGCTCATTGCAGTGAGGGGCGCAGCCTCCCTGAGCCGTCTGTATTGCTGGCACTCCCTGCCACTCATGCGCAACCCCTGCACTCACATGGCATAGGAGGCAAGCCACAGTGCTGGAGCCGGCTGCCTTTCCTGCCGCAGCTGCGCAGCACAGGACAGAAGTCTCAGTTGCTGGAACTGGCTGCCTTTCCCGCTCAACAGGGGGAGATGCCTGGGGCTTCCCTCCCCTGCAGCACAGCCCTGGCAAGGAAGGCAGCCAGCTCCAGTGCCTCAAACTTCTCTCCTATGCTGCGCAGCCCTGGCAGGGAAGGCAGCTGGTTCCAGCACACAGGGCTTCCCTCCCATGCTCTGCGAGTGCAGGGGCTGTGCATGAGTGGCAGAGAGCACCAGCAATACACCCGGCCCAGGGGAGGCTTTGCCCCTCCCTGTGATGTGCAGCGCTGGCCACAGCCATGCCCTGCCAGGCACCTGTGCCCTGAATGTCCCACTTGCTGCTGCACCGTGGC